CATTACTGGAACAATATTGGTTTTAAAAAGATGGGCTGATTCAGGAAATAACTAAGTCATTAAAAACACTGTCCAGTTGTACAAATATGACCAAGTCTATTCTCTACCCCCTCTTCAATTTTGTACCTAGCTCATTCTCCATTTGCAGTGTCTATCCAAAACAGTATGACTAATGGACTAGTTTGAAGAGCTCTCCATTGATATGAATACAATAGGCATTATGTAAACATTTTTTTTTCATTTTTAAGTTGATCTCCTTTGAGTGAATATGGATCTTATTTAGAAAGTTCTAGAAAAAATCATAATTTATACAAAATCTCTTTTCCATTTGAATTAGGAAATAAACCATTTCCAACAAAGTGCCTTTGTTGTGCATACATCTACCTATTTTATGCCTTACTTGATTTAGTAATCAGAGGGTCATACACAGTTTGCTGTTCTATTGTTGTATCTGTCATGGATGCACTAATTATGTTTTAATTTATATTATACTTATTTGTGTGTCTCTGTTTGTATTCTCCTTCTACATTATAAGATCCTTCCAAACAAAAACTATGTGTTACTCATGTCATTATCTTCAACCTAAACAAACTTGTGCATTAGTGATTTGAAGAAAAATCATAGTATATTATTTTCCTTTGGTTAACATAATAAATCTCCATGACCCAAAGCATTTTTTCCATGTTCCCTTGAAAAAAAAAGATACATACACCTTCCCCCCACAGGTAAATATAATTTCCACTAAAAGATGATAGCTATGTTGATGGCACACCTTCCTGGTAGTTTTGCCAATTGTGCCCTTTTTTAGACTCATTAAATTTCTTGAAATAACTAGGTTTTCACGCATTATTAGTAATGTGTTTTTTGAGATTTGTGAGTGGTATGAGCAAAAGGGTTGTTGATGTCTGATCTGACTACAAGTGTTTATGCCTATAGAAAACTGATTATAGGATAGAAATTTAGAAGGGACTTTAAGCTTATCTAGTGAAGCTCAACAATTTTATTGTAGAAAAAAACTGAACTTTGGAAAGATTAAGTGACTACTTGGAGGTCATAAAAAAGTAAGTATCATAGCCAGAATTTGAACATGTATTCTTTGGCTTAATGTGTCCCCTTACTATTAATGCTTTCCTTCCACTGATAGGTAGATAGATAAGTAGGTAGGTAGGTAGGTAGGTAGGTAGGTAAGTAGGTAAGTAGATAAGTAGGTAGGTATGTAGGTAGATAGGTAGATAGATGGATGGATGGATGGATGGATGGATGGATGGATGGATGGATGGATGGATGGATATATAGATAGATAGATAGATAGACAGACAGACAGACAGACACATAGCAATATATACATACATATATGTGTGTGCATATATAGAGAGAAATCTTGTTTGTGTATGTGCGTTACATATATACATACACACAAGATCGATCTATAGATCTATAAATTTATAGATCGATCTTGTTTGTATGTAATTGTTTTCTGGTTGTCCCCTCTTTAGACTCTGGACTCTGAACACAGGGACTGCTGTTTGCCTTTCTTTGTATCTCTAGCACTTTGCACAGTGCCTAAAACACAGTAGGCACTTATAAATGTTTAATGACCGATGGATTGGTTCCAGATTCCTTGCTTTTTATTCTATACCATGTCACTCCTTGGTATTTCCTGAAGTAGCATGTTAACAATATCAGTTCTCTAGGTAGGTGTGAATCAATGAAGAACAAAAAAAACCCTTCATGCAAACACGCAGGCGTGTTCTTTTATCCATTAAAATTGAACTCATACTTTTTCCTCATTTATTTGCAGGAGTAGGGACAAAGAGCACCACTGCTATTCAATTTAAAGCCACAACAGCTTCACTTTCCAATTTATAGTTATCCATAGAGCTTAAGATAAAGGTGGGGGAGGGAGAACCACTGAATCTTATGACTTTCATATAATTATAACAACGAGTTCAATTGGGAGGAAATGACTCAGATATATCTGGCCTTCGTCTGTGTCAGCCTACCATGAATCATTTTTTAATGGAGACAGGAAAGCAGTTTGGCGGCAGGGTCCAGGCACCAAACAGTGAATCAAAAACTCTTTATTCCAGTCCCAATTCTGCTGCTGATCCATGGCATGAGCTTGAGCAAATCCAAAGCTTCCGTGTTTTAATAAAGGCACCTCATCTGTAAACATTGAACTGCTTGTGCTTCACGAGGGAAAGTTGAGCAGATGAACAAATTAAAGGAGTAATCACGTTGGAAGAAACAGAGCTTTTTCTCCATTCTATTGCCATACCTCAACATATGCCATATCCAAATCTATGATCTCTCTACAGATAAAGATATAGATAGAAAAATGTATTGAGGTGGTGGGGAAGAAGTGGTTTAGAAGGGCTCCCTTTAATCACAGTAATCAAAGACATAGTCACATCTCTACCCTGGTACGTACATTGTAGACATTGCCCTGAGCTCAGAACTGCCCTCTGGCTCCAATGATTGGTCAAAACCTGAGAAAAGCATAAGATATAAATGAAAGAGAATGCAACCCCAATATGTTTCTGGGAACCTTAAGATCATAGAAACAAAGTTTGCCAAAAGGGATTTTAGAGCTCATCTTGTCCTATTCCCTTACTTGGGATCCTGTATAACTCATGAGAGAGAGCTACTGAACCTCTGCTTTTACAATTCTAATGGTCCAATAAACATAAACTCACAAACTAAGTCATTACACTTTTAGACAGGTTTAATTATTAGAAAGTTTGTGCTGTAAGAGCTAATCAACTATTGAATTTTCATCTTTCTCAATCCTACTCGCTCATCTATCTTGACAAAATGAATGAGATGATTAGAGCCTGTCTCATCATGGGCTGTAAGTTTGAATGAATTAATTTGGTCAAATGAAGAGGAATAAAAAGGATTTCCACTTTCCCATGTCACATCTTCTTTCCCCCACCCACAGATCACTTAAAGCTTCAATTCATTCTCTAGACCTGAACCAAAAAGAAAATAAGTGTCTAGTTGGGTTTTTTTAACCTTTTTTTTAACCAATCTAAGTATACTGTCATATCATCTGCAAAGAGTGCTAGTTTTATTTCCTTATTGCCTATTCTAATTCCTTCAATTTCTTTTTCTTCTCTCATTGTCAAAGGATTGTTGGCAGGATCCAAGATCCTACAACATAGCTAGGAACTTAGGTAGATCACAAGCTTTATTGATCTAGGAGCCAATGAAGCTTCCAACATATAAGACTAGCTTTAAAATATGCAAAGGAGGAGTTATTTTCTACACCACAACCTTCTAACATAAACATCCCTCCTCCTTCAACGTTCTGAAAGGTTTGTGGGAACTAAAGGGCTCTAAGGTGGAATTACAGTCTTGCAAATTCATCAGACCAGGAAAGAACCTAATTCAAACACCTCTCCACACTTGCTCCCAAAACACACACACACACACACACACACACACACACACACACACACACACACACACCCCTTTATATACTGGGAACTAGAATTACAAAGAAGATAAGTACTAATTTTCTACTTGTATCCCAGTAGCCTTTTATGGTTTAGGAAGATGGTACAGGTTGGGGCAGACAAATAAAAAAACAAGAACCATGACACAATAACCGGGTCTGTGCAATGACAAATCCATAACTTTTTCAGAGAATGAAATTCCAGATAATATGCGGTAATTACATTTTGCAATCACTAGCTTCAAAGGAATTGTAAACTGTCTCCTAAATTGATCATGCAACATATATTCTATTAAAAGAAGTAGAGGCTAAAATATTTAGAGAAGGTACTTGAAAGCATTTCAAAACCACAAGAATGAATCTATATAAAATGTAAGTATGAATTGAGGACAAGAAATATAGAGATTGGGGGCTGGTCAAGGTAAATACAGAGAAGACAAGTTGGGCTTCCTTCAAATGACAGACATTCCAAAGGGCAACTGACTGAGTTAATAATAAGAATAGTAACAATGACAATAATAATAGCTAACGTTTATATAGGATTTAGTATGTTCCAGGCACTATGCTAAGCATTTTACAAATATTATTTCATTTGACTCACACAGCAACTCTAGAAGAAAGATGCTATCGTTATCTCCATTTTTCAGATAAGGAAATTAGGCTAATGGAGGTTTAAAGACTTGCCTAGGGTCCCATGGCTAACAATTGTCTGAGGCCAGAATTCAGCTCTTCTTGATTCCAGGCCCAATGTTCTATCCACTCCACCATTAAGCTTCCTAATAATCATTATCATAACAACATCCACTCTAAATCATCCTGAAAGCAGTCGAAGAGGAGCCCTTAGATCGGTGTAGATTTTGATCTTATTTCTACTAATTGCCTTTGATGTCTTTTTTTTTTGGGGGGGGGAGTGCCTGAGGTTGTGTTAAGTTGGTATACTTTAAATACAGTATCTGTATCTTAGCTACTTCCTAGGGATGTTTAAGTGACTATTCCTAGCTGAGGGAGGGGACAGTCCAAAAATTTCTAATGATAAAAATCAGGGTAGGAAAACTAAGAAACAAAAACCAGTCAATGGGCCCAAGGTATGCTCCTGCTTTCCCACTCTTAATTTTATGAAGGTTGCTGTAAATGTCATACAAAATGGAGTCTTACGTAGGAGAAAGTAAGGAATTTGGCACAGTAGCTAACTAGCCATTTGAACTCACAGAAACCATCAGGCCTCCCTGCACCTCCATTTCCTCATCCCTTTCATAAAGATAATAAAACTGGTCCTACATACTCACACCAGTAGGGAAAATTAAGTATAACCTCCGTTGGTAAGAAGAAGAAGGCTGGAGCCATGTGGCATTACAACTAATCCAGCATCTCAGAAGAGGGAAGCCAGTACAAATAATAAGTTCTGCAAGCAAAAGGAGTACTGAAACAATATGCACAGTAGTAACCGACTTTGGAGATTCAGTATAAGTCACAAGAGACTTTTATAAGTCAAGTGAAGAGGAAAGGTGTTCTATAAAGCTATCTAGCAGCAATAGCAACTGACCTTTGGAGATTCCAATAAGCAGAATACAGACATTCCTCCCCCTGTCTTCAGGCACCAGGACTGTGTCCGACGCCTATGGCATATAGGAATTCTGAAAGAGAGGAATAACCAAAGAAAATGACACAATTAGAACATGAATGTTAGGATCAATGAACAAATACTGATTAAGCACCGACTCTTGGCCAGCATCCTAAGAGGCCACACTGCGGAGTGAATAGAGTACTGGGGCTTCATAGTTAATAATGCTTGGCCTCAAGTCATTGCTGACGGAGAAATGGCTGTGTGACACTGGAAAACTTCTTTAATCTCTCAATGTCCTAGGGGATTCCCTAGAATTATAGGCAAATGGATGTCCTCATAGGAGTTCCCCACATCAGTGAAATGACAGGTCTGGATCCCACCATTCCCCAAAGTTCCAGGCTGAACTCTATGCAGAGGATACAAAAGACAAACACGGAACTGCTGCTGCTATCCTCAAGGAGTTGACTTTCAACTGAGGGAATAGCCATGTACAAGAAGGAAAGTGAAAGAGGAGGGAAGAAAGGTATAAAAGCAAATACTGATAGTGTTTCCATTGTTTTCTTCTTTAAGGGACACAGAATTAGAGGAGTAAGGAAAAAAGAAGAGAACCCATGTAATTTCTGTAGAGTACAAAGGAAAGGACAAAGACTTTTTCTTGGGAAAATTCATAATGACTATGATTTAGTCGCCCAAAAGAAGAGGGTATTTGCCCTTCATTGGGCTAGTGGTAAAGATTCAGCTGACCAGGTCAATTGGATAAAAAACAAAAACAAAATATCTTTTATGTTTGCATTGTCTTTCAAATTCCTGGGGTAGGGGGGAAAAATTTGGTGGATGCTTCAGCTCTGTTCTGAGTTTTGGCCTATTTTATAAAATATATCAATATTTTTTTTAAATAGGTCTACAGGAAGGACTTTTTTAAGCACTCTCTATCAAGCAGTTCAAGTGAGGCAAAGTTTATGCACTCTTTCTAGGAATGAAACAGGAGACAGAAGAAAAAAACCACTGTGCCTAGGTTAAGAAGATTGTGAGGGCATTAACAATTCCAGAAAAAAAGTGTCGGACAGGTTTGATCTGAGGAAATTTGGTCTGAATCAGAATTATGATCCACCTACTAGTTAAAGGAAGAGAGAGAAGTTTGCTGGCATAAGAAACAGGTGAGGACATGTTATACTCATAGTTTAATTTACCAACAAAACCCAATGTTTATTAGGAACTGTATTCCAGGTGTAGAGGACAAGGGTATCATGCCTTCTGCCAGAAGAGGGCAATGTGTAACCTTTGGTAATAAAGGGTGTACTTACTGAAAATGCCAAGGTCCTGACAGTCGCAATTTTAATATTTTTTAATTAAATGATAAACTCCCAGAAAACGGACAATTGAACAAGGTTAAAGAGACCTGAATGGAAGAGAAGGTGCAAAAAACTGCAAGCTGGTAATAAATTAAGACCCCCCCAGAATTTTAAGGTAGGGCAAAAACAGGGAAAAAAAAACTCAAGGAGAAATAAGATAAAGTAAATGGTGAAAAGGATGGATTTTAGATAGGGCAGAGAAAAAAATGAAGATAGGACTGAGAGGTTGATTAAGAAAGCAGCAGAAATACTTGCACAAAATAATGAAGAGTGAAATGAGCAGAACCAAGAGAATATTGGATATAATAACAGCAATATTATTCAAAGAATAACTGAACTAAGCTATTCTGAATTTTATCAATATTCAAACCAACTACAAAAGACCTGTGAAGTCTCCTCCAGAGAAAGAACTGATAAATAGAAGTATGCATAGTATGGTTTTACATATTCATGTGTGTGTGTGTATAGATATATAGATATATATGTGTGTGTGTGCGTGTATAGATATAGATATCTATATATCTATAGATATCTATATCTATACACACACACACACATATATGCACACACATATATACACCTGTATAAACACATATATGAATTACATATATGTGTATGTCAAATGGTGGACGTCTCTTGTTCAGGGTAAGGGGAGGGAGAGTGGGAGAAATCTTGTGACTTAAAATGTAACAAAAAATAAATTTAATTTAATAAGAAAAATAAGAAAACAGCAGGAAATAAATTGTTAATTTTATTGTTTTGTCTGTTTTTTTTTTTACTTTTTGATGAGGCTATCGGGGTTAAGTGACTTGCCCAGGGTCACGCAGCTAGTAAGTGTCAAGTGTCTGAGGTCACATTTGAACTCGGGTCCTCCTGACTCCAAGTCCAGAGCTCTATCCACTGTGCCACCTAGCTGCCCCTTAAGAAATTGTTAATTTTAAAGAAAATAAATTACTAAATATAAATGATAAACATATGGCATTTCGCTACCCAGTTTCTTCCTAGGACTAATGTAGAGTTGCCCTTTAACACCAAAAATATAGAACCAGGAAGGATTCTAATAGCATTTCCAACAGCAAGGCCCAGTCCTACCTTTCTAGTCTTCTGAAACTTAGTCTCCTCTTCTTACTCAGTGATATAGCAACACTAGCCTTGTACAGGACATTTATCTCTGGACTCCATGCCTCTGCACTGGCTGCCTCCTGTGCCTGGTATTTCCTTCTTCTTAGTCTCAGGCTCTGCAGGCTTCCTTCTGGACTTAGCTCAGAGGCCTTTCCATGTCTCTGCTGCTAGTGTCTTCCCTCAAAGAGTATCTCAGAATTAGCTTGTAGAAATCTTGTACGTGAGCATTAGTTTGAATGCTGTCTCCTCCATCAGAATGAGAGCTCCTTTTTTTGGGGCTTTACTTGCATTGCCAGAGCTTAACACAGTGCTTGGCACATAGAAAAAAAAAAACAACATCACATTGACCGACTAAAAGACATAGTCTCTGTACACATGGTGTTCACATTTTAGAGGAACAAGACACGTTCACTAATCTGTGACGGTCAAAAAACACCAATAGTCACAACTTTGACAACCAAGTTGAAGCAAAGATTCAGGGAAAGGAAAACTGAAGTGAGTCTCCTCAAGAAATGACTCAGTTGGAGGTAGCTATTGCTCCTCTCATCACCAGGTGAAAACCATGATCCTGAACCAGAATCAACCAAAGCTGAGAAACTGTGCTTTGCAGGTGATCTAATCTTTGTTAACCCTGGCTTTTCTAGATCCTTGTGAAAGGTTACTACCGTATTAGGAAGCCTATGATTCTGCAGCTAGGATGTTCTCACTGGATGGCTACACCCGGAACGTCCTATCCTAAAGTGGCTAGGATTTTTTTCTGTGTTAACCTTTAGTGTAGGAATCAATGCATCTATTTCTGACCCATAGCCTTAGGGACTGGTACCAGGAAACTGTTAATCTCTCCTTCTTTCCAAAGAAAAAGTATTTCAAGGGGGAGTGCTACAGGCCTAGTCTACATCTGGAGGGAGTGGGGTGACGGTGGCAGGAAGGACTTGATGTCCTGGTCTTAGTTGATCAGATTGCTAGTGATTTTTATTTTTTTAATAAAAAAAATAGGGGACATTTACTTTCTCTTTCCCTTGCCCAACAATACCCCTTACTAAAAAGGAAAATAAAGAAAAATAAAACCTTTGTAATAAATATGCACATTGACGACTATTTGTGAGACCTAGCCTAGATTTCAGATGAGTGCGGCCTTGGAACTCTTTGGTTTCCACTACGCAGGAATCTTTAACTCTACCACCACCCCCATTCCTGTGTAAAAAGGCAGAATAATTTAAAAATATTAAAAATATTGGAAGACTGAAAATCAAAATCACAGCTTTAGAGCTCTGAGGGATGAAGAAGTAAAGAAATAGGAAAAGGGAATGAAATCTCCAGTAAATTGTGTTTATGGAGTATTGAATTAGGATATCAATGAATGCCCATTGCTATCTGTTTGCTTTAGTGGGTTAGGGAAGAATTGTGATATATAATAAATTCCTTCTTTATGGTCCTATGTAGTTCAAAGGATCTCACCTGCGAATAAGTGAAGCATGCTAGGAAGAAGGCAATGGAGAGTGAAGAGAAAGACAGCAGCCATTTCAAGAGTCTTAGCAGAAAGATCAGAAGATGGAAGGGGATGGTGATAAATGTACATCGTAGGGACACCAGCCATGTGAAAACTGATGGAGTAGGAAAAGCTGTAAGAGCAGAACTATGATAGTTTATGTAGATTGAATCTGGAATTATTCTGGGATCCTGGCTCCAGTGAAGGCAATGGCCATTAAGTAATTACAATGTGCTTGGGGACACAAAAACCACCACCACCACCACCACCAAAAGACAGCCTGTGCCCCTGAGGAGCTTACATCGGGAGGATTCAGTGAAGAAAGGGGGAGTTAAAAGGGTAGACGACACTGTTGAAGTTCAGAAAGTCAGAAGCACAGCTGGGAGAAGAGTAGAGGTTGGCTAGTGGGACTCTTCCCCAAAATAGAGGCACCAAGAGCGATTCCCCAGTGGGGAAAAGGGGGCTGCCACAGCAAAGGGATATTTGTAAAAACTCGAGGGAACGATGGATGTTCCAGAGTGAAGAAGTCATAGGCCTGAGGGAAGTTCCAGGTTAGGCTGTGACTGAAGCAGAGTATTAAAGTTGAGAAAATTTTCAGCCAAGACTGAACAGGAACTTGGGATAAATGTGAAAAACATGGCAACGCTGAAGAATTGGGTCAGGATGAAGGGCAAAAGGAAATTGGAAATAGAAAAAAAAAGAGGGGCAAAGTAGTTCTTGCAGACTTATTTACTTTTTCTTGTTTCTGAAAGAACTATAGAAAGAAGAGACAGGAGAAAGAGAGGTGATAAAACTTAGGAAGTTTCATTGAGAGAACAGAAAAAAGAACTTGTGATATTTTTATGCATTAATAGTTTCTATAAAAGTGGCAGACAGGTTTGGGGTTTGTGCTTGAAAATATAAGTGTGGAATTGAACTGCGACAAGGAGGGAATGAGGTTAACCACCTGCCTCATGCTTTTCATTTAAGGACAAAGGAAGCTATCTGGCATGAGACACCTCTAAAGACATGCTACAAGTGGGGCTCAAGAAATCCTCTGAGCATAATTCACTCTCAGGAAAAGTGTTTTAGGTACAGAGGACAAGGACACAGCAGTCCCTCATATGTATTGTATGTAACCTCTTTGATGAAAAAGCTTGTCTCTGCCCAAACTGACCAAGAGCATAGCCTATTAAATGGAAGACAGACAGGCCCAGCTGAGCCGGCTTCAAGGGCACAAAATGAAAGGGGGAAAAGGAACAAGTGAGCTTTTAACATCTGCCAACACGAAAACAGGAAAGCCACCTGGGGCTGTAAGAGAAGGAATACTCAGCTGTGGGGAAGGAGGGAGTTCAAGAAGAGACTTGAGTTAAAAAAGAACCAAGCGTTTAGAGCTTGAAGGGACTTTAGAAGTCGTGTAATCTAATACACACACACACACACACACACACACACACACACACACACACACACACACACACACTATTCACTTTACAGATGAGGAAACAGTCTCAATGAGATAAAGTGACTGGAACTTTGCATTCATCCTCATTGCATTTTACCTTCTTATATTTCACCCATGATTTCAACCTTTCAAACTCTCTGGGATCTCGCTTTCTCTTCTCAAATGCATTTGCTATGCCTCCCACTTTTGTATCATCTGGATATCAGTAAGGATGTGATCTATTGCCTCTTCAAGTTCACTGATTAAAAATCTTGATCAATCAGGGCCAAAGATAAAGCCTTGAAACATATCATAAGAAACATTTCCTGAGATTAGCATTCATTTTACCTTTTTAAAAGTAAATTTCTTGATTTTTAAAAATTTTTGTAATGCCAGTCATTTCTGGATATATATTCCAACACTCCCAACAGGCTCTCCTTTGTCACAAAGAAACAGAATTAAGCAAACCTAAATGATACCTTGACCACAACTGGAAGTATATACACAAACATATATTTGTACTTGTAGTCAGCCACCTTTTTCACTATGAAGTTTTTCCTCATATCTTCTCATAGATCAAGATGGGTGACATTTATTCTATTCTATGCTCTGTTTAACCTACTATGGATCCGCTGCTTTCTGCCCATCAACCAGTGTACTTTTTTTGTCATTTTTGTCTTAAAGAGATCTTGAGAGACTTTTTTCAAAGGATTACTCAAGTCCAGTTATGCTTGCTATCTTCCCCCCACCTCAATATTGCAAGCCTTTTTGGATACCCCTCCAAAATAAAAAATATTCAATGATGTAAAAATCTTTCTGAAGTGAAGCTGAAAAGCCAAAATTTTAAGAAGTTCTAAAGGTGTTTAATGGAGATCTGCTGATTAAAGCAAACATAAAGTTAGTTTCAAGGCAGGAAATATCACTGGACCATAGAAAAGCCTATAACCAGCAGGAAATATAGCTGTACTTCATGTACATCACAGAGTAAACAATTTCAGATTCATTTAGTCCAGATTGTGCAAAAAAACAAAAACAAAATTAGGCAAGTTACTGTTACAGGGAAAATGTCTACAGTTGTACAGGAATGGCATTTGGAAGTGATATGATAATATTTGGAGGGACACAGATTCCTGGGGAACATAGAAATGAGGATGCCTATACATGTGTAAAAATGCCCAGGCAAAGAACCATCCAGGAAGATAAAACACACAAGAAAAGAGGGAAGTGAGAGAGAAGGGAGTAAAAAAAAAAATGAAACTTAAGAAAGTATTGTATTTATAAGAAATTAGTCATTGGCTCTGGATATTTGCTGTTTCTGCATATTCCTAGCAGAAAAATGCATCACATATGGCTGTTTACAATAAATGTGTGAAGCTCAGACATCAAGAATTGGAAAGTATTTAACAAAGTTAAAAGTGTTGTAATTGCATATGATAGTCATGGTATTAGGCAAAAAATAAAGTGTTGCAGCAATAGAATTATAGGCCAAGAGCCAGAAGGCATCTCTATCGTAGAGGCCATAGGACAATGGGATCATGGATCTATAGCTGAAAGGAAACAAAAAAGGCCATGTTGTCCGACCTCTACATTTTGCAGATGAGGAAAATGAGACTGGAGGCACCAAATTTGGATTTCGAATCCAAGTCTTCTTACTACAGAGCCAATGCTTTTTCCATAGTAGCAAGATGCCTCTGTCATTTTAATAATAATGTCAATATGGTAGAGTATAAATAAATGCTGAAGTAATTTGAAGACAATAATTAGTATGGAAAGAGTTAAACTGGTCATCAGAGCAGTAGGATTTGAATCTCATCTCTAATGCCTACTACCTGTGTAATCTTAGATAGATCACTTAACCTCTGTAGCCTCAGTTTCCTTTTCTGTAAAATGTGCGGGTGGGGCTCAATGATCTCTTCTGGTCTTGGTGGCGTTTGGCATTGGTGTTACTAGATTTTTGATGTTTTTGAAAGTGGGAAATATAACTAAGAAGGCCGAAACAAGGACACAAAAGCATTTGTGGGTCTCTAGCCTATCTATAACCTGCTACCTCTGCTCTCTTGCTTTGGCAAAGATGATTTAGGCAAAGACAGGCAAAACTGGCTCTGGCATTAGGTAATTATTTTCCTATTAAGACAGCACTTCATTGTAAGGCATTAAAAGCACAGCTATTATTCATGGCTATTTCTAAAGAAAGCCACTCCAGTAGCATGCTGCTTATGTAGGAGTTCCAGAAGACTGCTTTGAACATCACTGAATGCTAAACAACTACAGAGATGGAGAAGAAAGAGGGGGGGAGGGTATTTCTCCTTCTTCACACTCCCACCTTTTCACTTGCAAATACACTGGTTTCATGAAGGCAATCCATGCAAAAGCATTTATATGAGCA